TAACTTTCTTCTGCACATTCTTTGGTCCCCATATCTTCCTACTGAGGTCCGGCAGGGAACACTGGGCGTGGATGGTCGTGGTTGAGGTCCGGCAGGGAACACTGGGCGTGGATGGTCGTGGTTGAGGTCCGGCAGGGAACACTGGGCGGGGATGGTCGTGGTTGAGGTCCGGCAGGGAACACTGGGCGTGGATACTCGCGGTTGAGGTCCGGCAGGGAACACTGGGCGTGGATGGTCGTGGTTGAGGTCCGGCAGGGAACACTGGACGGGGATGGTCGTGGTTGAGGTCCGGCAGGGAACACTGGGCGTGGATGGTCGTGGTTGAGGTCCGACAGAGAACACTGTGGATCGCGGGTCGCAGTTGGACGAGGAGGACGACGAGGAGGAGGACGAGGAGGACGAGGAGGAGAGGAGGAGGAGGAGGACGAGGCAGGAGGAGGCAACTGACATAAAATCTAACAACCCTCACCTGGCAGGTGGGGAAAAATATTGTGCTTCTTTGTTTGTTGGGTAGCAGCTTTGAAGATGAGAGCGTGTTTGGATTGAGGTTGTGGCAAGTGCAAAAGGTAGTTTGTTCAAGCTTGTGTTTGCACATCCGTAAACCAAAAAATCTTTCCCGGACTGAGTCCGGGTTCTTCAAAAAAAACAGCCATCCTGTCAAACTCATTGCGAAGAAACTTGCATGCCCCCTTTCCCCCAATTCAATGTTGTTACATCCCTTTGCTTCGAAAGGCCTTCAAAAAAAACAGCCATTTCGGTTCGGATGCCGGCATGCATTGGGCAACAACATTGATCAAGGGGGCGCGGGGGGATCAGGTATGATGTGACAACATGTAGGAGGATGGCTGTTTTTTTGAAGAACCCGGGGAAGATTTTTTGGCTTATGGATGTGCAAATACAGGCTTGAACCAATTCCCTTTTGCATTTGCCAAAACCTCAATCCAAGCACACTCGCAGCTTCAAACTTGCTACCCACCAAACAAAGACGCAACAGATTTGTTCTTTTCGTTTATGGATGTGCAAACGCAAGCTTGAACAAATTCCCTTTTGCACGTGCCAAAACCCCAATTCAAACACACTTTCATCTTCAGAGCTGCTACCCACAAACAAAGAAGCAACATTGCAGCATTTGCTCCGCACGTGGGCAAAAATTGGAGATCAGAGCTGCGTGCCTTGCATGGTGCACTAATGTAGAATGTGCCTGCACGCCTCCAGAAGCAGAATTGCAGCGTTCTGCTGATGAAAATATAAGGGGGCACAAACATTGTGTTTTGCACAGTGCACGTACAGTGCACGCACAGTGCACGCTACAGTGCACGTCACAGTGCACGGCCACAAAACGCTGTAAATACCACGTCTTTTCCCAAAAATAATCAGAAAACACAAAAAAAGAAAATATATCTATAGTTTTTTTTGTAAATTGTCAACAAAACGCCAATCCCATGGTATTTACAGCGTTTTGTGGCCGTGCACTGTGGCATGCACTGTACCGTGCACTGTGCGTGCACTGTACGTGCACTGTGCAAAACACAGTTTGTGCAATTCTGCTTCTGGAGGCGTGGAGGCACATTCTTTGTTTGTGGGTAGCAGCTGTGAAGATGAACGTGTCTTTGGATTGGGGTTGTGGCACGTGCAAAAGGGAATTTGTTCAAGCTTGCGTTTGCACAGCCATAAACAAAAAAATATTGTGCTTCTTTGTTTGTTGGGTAGCAGCTTTGAAGATGAGAGCGTGTTTGGATTGAGGTTGTGGCAAGTGCAAAAGGTAGTTTGTTCAAGCTTGTGTTTGCACATCCGTAAACCAAAAAATCTTTCCCGGACTGAGTCCGGGTTCTTCAAAAAAAACAGCCATCCTGTCAAACTCATTGCGAAGAAACTTGCATGCCCCCTTTCCCCCAATTCAATGTTGTTACATCCCTTTGCTTCGAAAGGCCTTCAAAAAAAACAGCCATTTCGGTTCGGATGCCGGCATGCATTGGGCAACAACATTGATCAAGGGGGCGCGGGGGGATCAGGTATGATGTGACAACATGTAGGAGGATGGCTGTTTTTTTTGAAGAACCCGGTATATCTATAGTTAATGGGATTATAAACCAACAAACATAACTGGGGGGCACCACCTTGTAGGGTGTTTAATACTGGGGGGAACTGATTATTGGGGGGATACCCCAAGTTAGTATAATTATTAGTAAGTTTGCTATTGATAGAGGTACCCCCCAGTTGAACAGCCCATTGGTTTCTGAATCCGCGGTTGACATTTCGTAATTGATAGTCAAAAATAAGTGATTAAAAAACACCCTCTGGTAAACATACCAAAAACTATGGAAAATCACCACTTTTAGTAGGTAAATCAACGATAAAATTGCCATTTTTCAATAGCCATGTTAGTTTACCGGAGGGTAAAATCTCCAAGATATCCCCATTATATCCTATGGTTAGCCCATCTGTAGTCGCTTCTAGACCCCCGAGCTGTGCCTTCTCAATGTCTTCCACACAAAACGTTGGGTCCGCGCCGATGATGCTACGATCCATGGCGCACTCAGCGAAAACAAAAACACGGCTGGGGCGCGGTTTTGCGAAGCCGCGCTGGCTTTTTTGACGAGGGTGGGTCAAAAGTGTGAACCCACCAGCAAAAGTTTATCCAAACAAATATCGAAAACCCTTGATCAACGGATGATACATGATGATAAATTGATGTCAAAATCCAAAACATCTAAATTCATAAGATGATAAAATATGATAAATTGATTTTTGAATGGATATAAATTTGATATTTTCTGGATGGTTTATGGTTTCCCATCTTAAAAATCATCTGCTTGTTGTCTCCGAAACTGGAGAATCTGCCGGGACTTGAGCCCAGGCTTTGCGACCCGAGATGTTTTGCCCAAAAAAGTATAGAAATATAGGGCCAGATAACCAAATTAAGAGATATGTATATCATATATATATATATGATATATATCTATATATGATATGATATACAGATATACAAAAACTAATTCCAATATATATATATATACCGTATATATATATAGCAGTGTACAAATAAATATAGGGCCAAACAAAAGGAAATATACAGTATAGATACAGATATTTAAAATATATATATATAAAATTGTATGGATTCTTGGTGGATACTTGGGTGGTTTTTGGGTCCACAAACATTCGCCTGGCCGGCCAAAAGACATGGACAGATCGAAATGAGATGCAAACACTCAACCAAATCCAGATAAAAACACATACCCTCCAGTAAACTAAGATAGCTATTGAAAATGGATAAAAATGGCCCATTTATAGACGATTTACCTAGACCTATATATTAAAAAGCGGCAATTCCCATAGCTATGTTAGTTTATCATCTCCGATAGGTGTTGATTTCTGGATAATTAATTGTCCCATTTCAATGTCCATTTATCTTAGATTTCTCAATATGTTTCCATGTTTTCCCGTATTTTCTCATAATATAAAAGTTGTGATTTCCCAGTGCCATGTCAACGCGGAGGGTAAAGTTGAAGCCACTTGAGCCATTAAAAATATCCAAATGTTGGTTGAAAACGCTTCCGGATTCATATATGGGTTATCATAATCCTCAATAACTGTAGTAGGATAGCTCCCAACCAACTAACCAATCAACCAAGATATGTTTCAGGTATATCAAGTTCTATCTCCATGTTTATATAATGGTTAACACCCATATAAATCCTTATTTACCAATCAACCATGGTATTTTTACTAGTCGGTGGCCCCTTGAATCCCATTAAAATCCCATTCAATCCCTATAATTGATGGCTTTTGGGGATTAGGAACTATAGTTGAATCCAATAATAATATAACTATTGTTATGAAAGTTTGATGCTTATACCTATTTTCAATAGCTATAGTTGAGTCCAACAATAATCGATTATTATTAATAAGAAACTAGCCATAGTAATCATAGTAATCCGCTAATAATTCATATTAGTATTGATGTTGATGTTATTATAATGATTAGTCAATAGCTACCATATTAATAGCCAATCAACCAGGCTATTTTGTTCATGTCTCACTCCTGGTCGTTCACCTTTCGGTCACGCCTCAGCTAGGGCCTTGTTGTCAGCGAGTGCTTGGACGCGCCTCGCTGGCGAGAGTAGCATCCAACAGGGTGAGTTTTTTCTGGGGAAAAATCTGGGTAAATTATAACGACCTCACTGCGACCTCACTATAATCATAGTTAGATTGCAGGGAATCATCCCCAAGATAGCCTTGTTTCAGGTTAGTGAATTATTCTAATTTGCAAAGAGAACAATTGAGATATCATGCAGTTATGGCCACAGTTATACTGTAAATGAGCTTATTTCATGATATCACCTACTAGTTATAGGAGCTATGTTGTGTCATTTCAATCCGTTTTATGTTGTGTTTTTTTCGGGCCAATCTTGGCCACAACTCGCGGGATTTCATGGAGAAATCCAAGGGATTTTCGGGATTTCACTCATGGCGACGTGGTGCCCCTCTTTTTTTGGCATGTTGTTTCTGGTTGGTGGTATACTATACTAATACCATTAATGGGTTATGATCCATTATCAATTTGATGGTTAATATGTGGTTAATATACTGTTAATAATGGTTAATATTAATGGTTAATAACAGTTATAGTGCATTTACCCATGAATAGCATGGTGATTGTCCATAGTTATGTTAGTTCATCCCTATGATGCTTAAATCCCTATTGATGAATGGGAATTCCAGGATCCAACAGATTGAGGTACGTTAGTACCATATGTTGGGCCATATTTTGTGGGGATATTCCCTCACATAGGCCTAAAAAATAGGCCTTATATATGGTAGGTACCTCCAATAAATCCGATCCTGAAATGGCCATTGATTTTCTGGCATGGTGTTTATTCTGGTTGGTGGTATACTGGTATACCTACCCCTCTGAATAATATGAGTTCCTCAGTTGAGATGTTATTCCATTCCCAACTGTTTCTGGAAAGTCATAATCCATTCATGTTCCAAACCACCAACCACTCACTGTTTTAGGGGGACTGAAACGACAAGCCCAGAACACCCACAGCCAGCTGAGCGAAAGTTTTCCTGGTGAACAATCCCAAGGGTCGTGAATCATGCTATCAGCTAGTTACATAGCTGTATCTCGATCAAAATTGAAAAAAAAAACAACAACAATAACTCGTAGTCAAACTGATTAGTATATAATAAACATAGGATAACTCGTGATTAAAAACGGTAGTGATGATAATCAAAAACATGGGCCCTCCAAGTACCAAAAGAAAATGACAGTTCACCTCATCTTTTTAGGTGTCCAAATGTTTATGGGTACAACTGCAGGGTCTAGGTACCTGCATATAGTGTTTGTAATATCCTCATTTAGACCACCGTTGTAACCCCACTAAAAGCAAGTAATGATGATAACCTCGTAGAACAGTGAGCGTACCTACTGCAATAATGGTTTACCCTCTGGTAAACTAACATACAGAAACTATGGAAAATCACCATTTTGTGTAAATCCTCTATTTCTATGGACAATTTTCCAGTTCGCGTTTTGTATGTTTACCAGTGGGCAATATATCCCCATACTTCTCATTAACCAAATTTACCCTCTGGTAAACTAACATAACTATGGAAGATCACCATTTTCAATGGGTAAATCCACTATTTCGACTGGGCCATTTTCAATAGCTATGAAACAAATTACCAGAGGGTATGCTTCATTATAATCCCATACAACAGTATAGCAACCTCCAAAGGTCGATGCCAAAACGTTGGACATCTGTAAATTTATGAACATATCATGTTTTGCAACATCCTGCTTTCACACTAAACCAAGGCATCTTTTTTGGGTTTACAACATAACACATAAATTAATATAATTGCATTAATATGATCATATATGTACAACTGCGGATATTCCATATACAACTGGTATCAGGGCATCATCATTCCATATTCCTAAACTAATCATTATACCAAACATTACCATCACTATCTTGTGAATCTTTTACTATTTCATGCGTAGCTACGTGGCTCCCAGCCGGGCCTGGCACGTTTCTGTTTCTTCAACTGGGCTTTGGCACCTCAGTTCGTCAGATTTCAGGGATTTCATCGACAAAAACTGACCAAATGGTTGGAGGATCAAAAAGTAAGGGCTGGTTGGTGGTTTCAATCCCTCTGAAAAATATGATAGTCAGTTGGGAAGGATTATTCCATATATATTATGGGAAAATAAAAAATGTTCCAAACCACCAACCAGTAAGGCGATTTGTTTGTGTGTAACTAACGAAAATGAGGAAAATGACGATTGAAGGCCACATAAATTGTGATGTCAACGAAAACGCTGTCTGAAGACCAATGGGTACTGAAAAAGAGACTGTTTGGGAGGTGTTCTTGAAAAACCAGAGTGAATGAATCACCAACAACATCAGGAATATCACCGACGGAAACTATTTGGACACCCAAATTAAAACAGTGTTTTCCCACTCCACCAAAAAAAAAATTGTAGATGAAGAGGTTCCGATTGATGCTCTGTGAGCCCAAATGAACATATAATATGTCTATATAATCATAGGAAGCCCTTCCAGAGAGGATTGTTTTCGATTTGATTTCGATTTCATTTTTTCAAGGGGTCAGTTCATTGCTACTCATGCAATATCATCGGAGTGATGATATATTCCTACAAAAAATGACCAAGGTCCACTTTCAAAACATGTCAAAAAACCATCGGTTGGTAAAGCCTGAAATGTTGACCTCTGGAGGTAGGAAACGGAAACGGCCCCCTGGCGGCATCCCATCATGTGCTCGAGAACTGTTATTGTTTTTTATTGCGACTTCTGGGGATTGCCAACCTAGATCGATCTATAAGAAATATACTGTTAATATACTCATACTCATGAGAGCAAATACCATCTCAAATGCTGCATGCCGATTTTATATCCTCACTTAAAATGGCTGGATTTAAACCAAAACATGTTGTTGGCTATCATCTTTCCCCAAGGTATCCCCAACATTGTATCTCCATTATATCCCGCTCATGTACCCACAAGGTTATGTACAATAAAATTATGACCACAAATTCAGACCTAAGAATCCCAAAATCAATGCAGATCCAAAATTTTAAAAATAAATCATTCCAATAAGTGCACCATGCACAAATTGGTATTAGGATGTATTAGGCATAATGAGGCGATGTATCGGGTAAAATGAGATGCTGTACCCAATCTATTTGATACACCGATTGTCTTTGGCATTGGGATTTCGAAACACCAATTGTTTGTACCCAATAGCTCTACCGTACTTCACAACATTCCTTTTCCTCTTCTTGCACATTGTTTTGCCATTAAAAAATATAATCCATTGTATCTGGAAACAATATTTGATAACCATGTTGTTTGTTTATTTATCTATTCATTTATTTATTTATTTGTTTATTTATTTATATGTGGGGTTTATAAAAATGATGGATCCCCAAGTCACCATAGGTTTCAATGCTAAAATGGTCTAATGACTTGGATACTATGTGGGGTAACCATACTTTTGGAAACCTGAAGGTATAGGAATTTAAAGAATAATATGGATGTATTTTATAATCATAGGAATATAGCCTATACCCTCTGGTAAACTAACATAACTATAGAAAATCACCATTTTTAATGGGAAAACTCACTATTTCAATGGCCATTTTCCAGTTCGCTATGTAACAAATTACCAGAGGGTAATGGGTTTGTTGAATCCATATGGGAATGGGACAAAACTTGTTCTTGCCAGATTGGGGGTTTATTCACATGGCAGTGGGTCAAAACCTTGTACCCCTGGTGAACATCAAAATAGCTGGTAAATGGATGTTCATCCCTCTAAAAATGGTATTAATAGGTATTGATTCATAGCCACATCCATTAACCAGCTATGACTTAGGGTACCGTTTGGGTGCCAGAGTTTTGACTCATAGCCAGGATGGTGCCCCCGAATGATGTGAGCGTTGGTTTATAAGCCCCATGAATACTAGTTCATTATATCTAAACCATAGAATTCAGCCACTTATGTCAGAAAATTTGACATAGCTATAGAAAATTGCTCATTGATAGTTGATTTTCCTATTAAATATTGTGATTTTCCGATTTTCCATCGCTTTTTTGTATGTTTACCAGAGGGTAAACATACCCTGGCATCGCTACCCCGCTGGGCTAGGCTTTCGCACTCTCCGGCGCCGAAGTGTCGAGGCATCGCAGGAAGCCGGGCACGTCGGAGAGGCGGTGGCCTTTGTAAAACGTAGCACCAGGTGGTGGAGAAAAGAGGAATGGTGAGGTTGAGAAGAGATGTATATATAGACATATATTAAATAAATGTAGATACTAATTATATATATATATATTTATATACACATACATATATAGAGCTAATATATCTCTGTGCAGTCTCTTATCTATATCTATATATGGTATCCCTCCCATATAAATATATATATATACATATACACACATGTATTCATACAAAGATAGTGTGTATGTGTGTATGTATATATATATGTTGAAATTTGATATAAACATTCTTTTACATGTATTTCAACAAATGAACGATATGTGTTGGCTGTGGTTATTCATATGTGTATCTATATATATACATAAGTTGTGTTGACCTTGGCTTTTTTTTGGTCACAACACATCACATTTTCTCACTTTTCCCATAGACAGCGCGACGTCGCGATTAGAGACCCGCAAAACAACTCTCGCTTGACTGCCACAAAGTCCCATGCCTGCCACGTGAAATGCACTTTCACACGTCACAACACATCACCTTTTCTCACTTCCCCATAGACAGCGCGACGTCGCGATTAGAGAAAAAAACAAAACGACGAGCAAACAGTCCACCACCTGCAGACCCCCTACCAAGAAAACAAGAACCCTTCGCTACGCATTCGGGAAAAAATGTATTTCAGGGCCTAAGTCTATGTGAATTTACCAGATGACCAGGAAATATCTTTGTCTTGTTGACGTCCACTGCTTCTCCAGCAACTCCTGATTTCAGCTCAAGGGTCCATCATTGATGCCCTTCTGCCCTGTCCACTTGGCCATGGCAGCATACAGCTCCTGCGCGACTGCTGGGAACAAGAATCTGGTGGAGTTCACCCTAAGACCCTAGGGTAAACATACAAAAAAAGTGGAAAACCATAGGAAAACAATCTACAAATAGATTACGAACTGTTAGCTTACTCCAGGATAACCAAATGTTTGATGCACAACGTTCACAAGGATTTCGACCCATTGAAAAGTGGGATGAACATGCATAGATGGAAATATTTCGATGCAAAAATATCAAAATGGTTTGCTGGCCAAAAACAACAGGGAAAAAAAAAACGCACAAATTGCGGGTTTCCCAAGCTTAGTTGACCCATATCTATCTACAAATATATAAATATTGATTTATCTGTTTATTTATTTTATATGTTTTATTTATTCATTTATTTTTTTTTGAAACACCGCTATGTATATATGTACAATATCACATGTCTATATGAAGAACGCCCTTTTTGACCACTGGGGGCTCCGGAGGATGGAAAATTGTTTCCTCACTAAAGCGGCGGGTAAGGAGCCATCTGGGAAGATGAGAGATCATAAATTGCAGGCACTTGTGGTGCGAAGCACCATTCACACCTCATGCCAAAAGAGCACCTGCGGAAGTGGAGATGCTCAAAAAGTGCACAGCGCTGCAGTAGCGAATGTGGATTCAAAATGTGAAAGACGCAGCGGGTTCGGATCATTTTTGGAAGTTGGGATGTTGAAATGAAAGAGTGCAGTGTGAAGGGTGAAGTGTGATCTTTAGCGCGTAAAGCATCGCTTAGCGTTGCATTGAAACGTGGTCGTGCACAGGTCATGTTCTTGGACAACAACAATGCAACAGGTTCGCACAAAGCATGCATGCACGGGCCTGGGTGGCGCACGGCGCACGCAAGTTCAGATGAAAAAGGTCTTATAGTATAACCCTACGGCAACTTCCACCTCATGCGCGTACTACTCACTGGTACATATCCTATTATTTTCCCATGATATATATATATATATATACTGTGTATATATATATTATCATTATTATTATTATTACTATTATTATTATTTATTATTATTATTATTGTTGTTATTATTATTATATTATATTATATTATATTATATTATATTATAATCATATTATATTATATCATATTATATTATATCATATTATATTATACATGTGTCTTACATGTGTATATATATATATATCCCATCATATTCCCATCATATCCTCACCCAGGCATCCTCCGATTTCACAGCCAGCAGCCGCAAATCCAGGTGATCTCGAAGCAGTTGGATGCCGCGCAGCACCTGCCTAAGAAAAAAGCTGAGCCGCCGACGCACGGGGTGTTTTTGTGGATTCAATATGATCTACCGTACTCGGTAAAGTAGAACAAGAAAATGTCTAGAAGTTGATGGGAAACCATAGCTGGTAAACACTATTAACCATTATTATTTCTGATATTGTAGAAGTGTCTTGCAAGATATGGTGATTAACCCTTCGGTAATCACTGTAATCAAACATAGCGATTGGAAAATATTGTAGAAATGGAAGTTTATGGTAAGAAGAACAAGAAAATGTCTAAATATGGATCTACTTACTGGTGCATTTTACGCAAGGAATTTTCGGGAATGATCCATTTCATCACATTCGTAATGTCATCATCCCAGCAACCCCCAGCAACCCATCCATTCCCTGCTAAGCATCATATGGATCTAGTGGTGACAAAAAAAGTAAATAATGGGAGAGCGGAAAGATTTTATGGGAGTGAAAAAAACATGGAAATATCATGGGTCTAAATGTCTAAGGTTGTTTGAAAGCAAGCATTTTATGGGGATGTCATAGGGATAAAGTAAAATATAGTGGCTTATTGGATGATATAAAATAAATAATCCCTTCCAAATGTTCAATACCCAGTGATTCTATGCATGGTGGTCCACTTGGAAATGATCTAAGATTAATCCTACTGGGTTGTATCCAAGTATCCCGCATATAATATCATATAACTGGCTTATTTACACAGTTTCTCTACAACTGGGATTCACCCTCAAGTATCTATCCATTACCTACTGATTTGGGGATTCATATCTCAGTCAAAATGCAGATATCAAAACCTGGATTACATCAAGCCATCTTAAATCCAAACAAGCCACCCATCAACCCATCACACTCAGCCCATCTCAGCCCATCTCCAGCATCCCACCGGTGCCTCGCCTGCAACGTCGATCGCCCCCGATGTCCAGAAACGCACAGCTGCAGCGCTGCACACCGTGCCGTCGCAGCTGCTCCGGCAGCTTCGCCGCTTCCTCGAAGAGATCCTCCCGGCGCTGATTTTAGTGGGGGGATTGCCTTAAAATCCATGGGAAAAATGGGAAAATCCATGGAAAAATGAGAAAATCCCATGGAAAAATGAGAAAATCCCATGGAAAAATGGGAAAATCCCATGGGATTCTCTAGAAAATTCAGGAGTTTCTAATCGGAAGATCGGTTTGAATGGCAAATGGCATAGAAATGGAGGTGTACTAAGGAGAAATCATCTATAAATGGAAGGATCTTCCATAGCCATGTTTGATTCCTGGAGGGTAAAGCTGTGAAAATGCTACGTAAAGCCCATTTCAACCATCCAAAAATGATGGACAAAGAAAAAGATGGTAGAAGATGGTGTCCATTGTTATAAGTTAATTGATCAAACCCATCTAAATTTCAAGTTTGTTCATCACCATAAACACATCAACCCTGCTTAATCCAGGTGTGCTTTCCAACTTAGCTGTCGAACTGGGACACCACCGGTGTACCTGTTGGCTTTAATTCTCCAATCATGACTTTTGGCATCAATAATTTTGAGCCACACCCAAATGGTGTCCCTCAAAACTGGCTTATCGGATTATCATGTTCCCCAACAAATTGGACAGTATAAGTCCCTACAGGATGGGGCCCCCCAGTTATAAGTTGGTTTATAAACCATTATAACCCCCATCAAGTATAGTTATATCTACCATAAACCATAGTTAGGCCACTTATAAGGCAACTTAGCTATCTTGGGGGCCCAATCCTGTAGTTCTTAGCCAATCAACCAGGATTGAAAAAAGTTCACGGCTCAAATGAGACATCAGAAATGGATTCGGAACCACGGAGACGAGTCCCGGAAGAGGCCCCCGAGTTATGTTTGGTCATAACCCCATCAGTGAATGGATTGGTTTAAGGGAAAATCTACAGGAAACCATGGATTTTCCCATTAAATATAGGGCTTTCGGGTTTAAATTTTCCCTTAAACCAATTCATTGAATCAAACATCATCAAACTATAGATATGTCCATTATGTAAAGCCTGGTTCACCTACAATGTGGGTAAAACAATGATAAACCATCCATTTGGGAATGGCTTCTACAACCTATTTATGGTGATTTGGGGGATGGTTTATTATTGAGTTTTACCCACATTACTGTAATTATTATAATTATCGACAAACAGCTGGTTTGGGGGACCCTTCCGAAACTTCCTGTATGGTCAACTATTGAAAATGGCCCCCTTATATAGATTATTTGCCTTTCTTCAACATGGTGATGTTCAATAGGAGGGTTAAAACACTATCTTTATGGATTATAATCCATCCTATAGATGATTTCCAATTCTAGATGGACAATAATCTTTAAATAATTTTGATAATCTATAAATAATAAGTGGACACATCTATAATATCCCAAACTTCAGATGATTTTCTCAACTTGTTTGCTATCCATCCTTGCTCCATGACCTGTGATCCTTCCCACTGTCCAGAAAGACAAAGGACACGCTGGGTACCCGCTCTCGACCTCAAGGTAACCCTGTAATTTGTGATGGGGGAAACCATGGGGAAAACCATGGTTTCATGATGTAGAACTCTAGATGTTCCAACCAGTCCATGGTTTCATGATGTGATTCTGTCAGCTACCCACAATCGCCCAATCTCTTGGTTTAAGTTTAAGTCATATTTTCGAAAATGAAAGTCCATTGGGGAGAGTTCTCCCTTTTTTTGTTGGTGATGAAGATTCTGACCTGAAGATTCCACTGATGAACTATATGAACTAGTGACGACTTATCAACTTTGATCAACTCACAATATGCTATTTTGTAATTCATATGTCCAAGAAAATAAAAGTCAGTTGGGGAGAGACATCCATTGTGAAAATGAAATAAAACCAACTAAACCACCAATCAGTACATGATTTAGCTATCAAAAAAGTCGATATAGAATTGACCCATGATTCAGTCAAAATGTGATTGACTTGTTGGGCAGGTGATGAACGTATGATTGATATGATTGAACTGAAGTTTGTGTCTATATAAATGGAAAAAATGGCACGCGGCCCCTACTAGGAAGACGGGATATACTGTGATACTTATGGTGATACAACGCCCCTTCTATTCATTTACTAGATTCAGAGGTCATCCAAGTAAGCTCTCGTGGCGACTGTAAATCCTTGAAATCTCACGTTTCTTCAGTGTCCTATAAGAAAATCCCAGTTGCCATTGGATCCCTATTGATGGATAAAGACCCACTGTATCGTTGACTCATGTTGACTAAATCTCCATTGTTGATGGCAAAGACAGCCAACGTCGATGAAATCCACATCTTTGTGGTTGAAAAATTCCAGTTCTGTTGCTGAAATCTCCATGGCGAATGCTTACATCCACATTTCTGAAAAATCCCCATTTAAATTGATGCTGATCGAAATCCCCGTGTTTTGATGCTGCTTTTGCTCGGTTTGCTCCTAGAAATAAAAAATCCCGTCCGAAACTTGACCAGGACATTCTAACCCTCCAAAACACGCTGGCCCAGCGCTGGCTCAAGCGTCTGATGGCCAATTGTTCCAAGCTCACGTCCACACCCAGTACTTGCGAGGCCCTGCGAGGTGACTGTTCCAGGTATCGACCCTTTTCTGGACAAAAATATAAAAGGATTAGTGAGAAACAAGCAAAAACCTTTGGGATAGAATGGAATGTCATGGGATATACCTACGTAATTCTATTGGAGTTATAATTACTGGGGATTGTGGCCTGGAATCAGAGAAAACATCTCCAATTTATGCAGTTGGGGACGTCGACGTATCGTTTTTGATATCTACCATAGACCCAACAGTGACATGTTGGGCAACTTTCAACCAGCTTAGCGAACGAACTGGGATCTCACGCGTTGCGGATATGTATGTATGTAATGTAATGTAAATGTAATGTAATGTAATGTAATGTAATGTAAATGCAATGTAATGTAATGTAAATGTAATGTAAATGTAATGTAAATGTAATGTAAATGTAATGTAATGTAAATGTAATGTAATGTAATGTAAATGCAATGTAATGTAATGTAAATGCAATGTAAATGCAATGTAAATGTAATGTAAATGTAATGTAAATGTAATGTAAATGTAATGTAAATGTAATGTAAATGTAATGTAATGTAATGTAATGTAAATGTATGGTATGCATGCATGTATGTATGTATATTTATATGTAGGTAGGTACATTTATATGTAGGTATGCAATTCATTGTAGGGGTGCAAGTGGGTTGGGCATATGAACCCATCCCCCTTGGAATGACGGTAAAAGGAAGCCTAAAATGAATGACATATCGTATCATTCGAGGAAAGATTTCAAGAGAAACACTCATTTTTGTATACATATATATAATATGTATATATATAATATGTATATATATATATATGCAATATAATATATATCTAATTATTAATTTATATTATATATATACCTAATCATTCATATATATATATGCACAATATGCGCTATATATATAGAATAGAATGTTATGTATATATATATATACATATATATGTATATGGATTTACTGATCTAAATGATATGTATGGTCAAAACCCATGGCTTTCTTGCCGCATGTCAACCTACTTGTCCAATGGTCCCTTCAAAACTTGATCCAATGTTTTCCAGTTTGTCGATGGGTCAGCATTTTCAAGGCTTTCCAAGGTCGCTAGCTTTACCAAATACCAAAATCATCCCAAAATCCCAAAATCATCCCAAAAGCATCCCAAAAGCATCCCAAAAGCATCCCAAAATCCACATCTTATTCGGTTTGAACTTCCCCAAAACCTTCAGATTTTACCCCCGGCCTCGCGGCCAAGATCTCGGTGCATTTGCCCAAGCTGCTCCCCACCTCTACCACCTCATCCGTGGCAGTCACCACATGACGCGCCAAACGCCTGACGGACGTGATTCCTTATCATGATCTTCCTTGTTCTGTCCCAGAACTAGGAGTTGTTTGCCCCAAAAAAATGATTTATATCAAAAAATCGGTGATATCACCACTAAATCAATAAATCTTCTGGTGTTTTCGTTTTCCCATCCTCCCATCCGCCCATCCTGTAGTCCTCCGTGCTGTACACCACCACCACGCGCGTCTCGGCCTCAGCTTCCAGCAAGGTCCCGCGCAGCTGCTCGCCCACCTGACATGGCGATGGTCCTGGGATAATTGGCGTTGATTTTTTACCACTCGACATGGTTTCTGAAAGTTTCTGATGCCTACAACATCCTACAACTATATCTATATCTATATCTATATCTATATATAGAGATATACCAATATATATATAGAGTGTGTGTGTGTGTAAGTGAATTCCCCAACTATTGTGCTCCAGATTCACCTTGATTCTATATACCAGTCATCCCAAAAAAGTGTCGGGACGAGCCATGGTTAAAAAATGGTGATTTATTGCTGTTTAATGGGACTTTATAGTGATTTAATGGATTATGAATGGGATATACCCTCTCGTAATTTAACAGTTTGCTATTAAAAATGACCATAGAAATAGTTGATAACTACCCATAAAATATGGGTGGATTTTCCATAGTTTTTTGTAGGTTTACAAAAAACTATGGAAAGATCCACCATTTTTTTGGGGTAAATCAACTATGTCTATGGTCATGTTTAATAGCTTTTTGTATGTTTACCAGAGGGTAACCATGGTAACGTTCACCTCCATAACTTGGGATATGGGGGGGGGAAATCATTTTGCTATGATGAAATGCGGGGTGCAAATGGTGATTTAACACTTCGCCATAGAAAATTGCCAGGTTTGTCATGCCAAATCATGATAAATCATCCACTTTCATAGGTACTGCCTGAATTTCCATCCGTTTCTTATTCTGGGTCAAAGTTGGGATAGCGGAACCACGCACAGTCCATTTTTCATGATGAAACTGTCCGCCTTAATTTTGACAGTCGCAGTTTCGTTGCTGAAATCTCACTTGTTACATCCGGTTACCCTGTGGTACTTGAACATAGCTATGGAAAATCAGAAAACTTGACCACGGTATATCATCTATAAATGGGGCATCTATACCATAGCTTATGTTCAGTTACCAGTATGCATTAAAAAAAAAAAAACTTCTTCTGCAATTGGATTTGCCATGTTATTCCCACGAGACGCCCACGTTCAAAAAGCGCTTCGGAAGTCCACTGGTTCTTGTTACGTTTTGTCGTCCGTTGGAAGGATCAAATTTCACCAATCAGAACCAACCAATATTTCACATTCGGGGGATACCACCTTGTATGAAATCTTATGGATATGTATATATATATACAGTATATAATATAGTTGCAGGGCTTCATACACCAATATTCTATCTCCATGGTCAGCTTTATAAACCAAGCCACGGTCCCCAGTAGATTCCCCAGAAATTGGTACCGGTCAACTCCCCCAAATGACCAACGACGCAAGCTGCGAAAGTCCTGAACTACATGGAGGTCCATACTAGTAGCTGGGAAAAAAATGGTGATTTATTGCTGTTGAATGGGACTTTATAGTGATTTAATGGATTTTGTGAATGGGATATACGATATACCCTCTGGTAATTGAACAGTTTGCTATTGAAAATGGCCCAGTCGAAATAGTGGATTTACCCATTAGAAATGGTGATGTTCCATAGTTTTATGTATGTTTACCAGAGGGTAGTAGCTGGGAAAAATCCTCGAAATGGTGAGTGTTCAATGGCCACGTGGTAAATTTTTCCGGAGGGTATTCAAATGATGCACTTGTTTAACTTCCCCTAGGTTTTGATGTGCCATGGTCAACACAAGGTGAAAATCCAAATCACGGGCATAGAAATTCTCTAATCAAAATGGCTTGACTCTTCCCATCCCCAAAAAAACATCCAAAAAACTGGGTATATCCTATGATATTCCCATATCTTTTCTCCATTTTTCTATGAAACTTCCCTGGAAATATCCCCTGAAAGTTGCTCATGGCCCAAAAAAAACCGGCCTGAGAGGCCAGGACCCACGCACAGCTCGACAAACTCGAAACAGATTCCGCCATCCATGGCAGGGATGGTGGGATTAGCAGCCATAAAGCATGTCTAAATGTTGATGACTTGGGAGTGGTGACTTTGGTGCATTGGGTTGATATAAGAGTGACATTCTTGGGCGGTGTTTGAGGATGAGGAACCCAGCTGCGATGTGTTTACACCAACTGGCCCCCAGGCAGATACGCTTCATGCGACAGATCTTTGCGAGTTTTTGGGGATCAATGATCAATACCCTTGAATCCAGTTGACGTGGTCATTGACTTTATATATCAAGGTCATCTTTTTGCATGGTTGACCTAAACTTCAACCGATCATGTTGGTAAATGGCTCCGCAAATATTACCAAATTGATGCGACATCATGTTTCTGGGCATTTCCTGAAGCTGGAAACAAGTGTGGCGGTATGGACCGTGGGTGTCCAAAAATAACAATCACGTCATGGTTTGCTCGCCAAATTGCAATTGATCTATCGGGACATCCATAGGGCTGTCACAATGGGCCCTTTTTGAATACACATCATACACTCACCATACAGAGAAACCAATTTTATCAAAGAGTTGGAACCGTGACAAGACTCTGGAATCACTGATCAATTTGGGATCCCCAAAATCATTCAAAGATTGCCCAAACAGTTTGGAATGATTTTGGAATCACTGATCAATTTGGATCAACTTTGGGATCGTCATGTTTTTCCCAGAACCACAGTTCTTGCAGAGCGCCGCAGCTCGCCCTTTTTTTTTGGCGCAGCACGGGTGACTGCTCTGATATGCGGAACCACCTGACAGGTGGCCAGCAGTGGTTAATTGATCACATGTTTCTTACTGATATACTATGTATTACTATGTATATATATATATATATACGTATGTGTATATATATATAGGTATTTCCGAAAATGGGGGATCCCCACCATGGGACTTTCTTCACCAATAAAAATATCTTCAAAAAAATGGATGATTCACCCGGCACCCGGGTGAGGTCCCTGTGCTCACCGATCACCCCAAAGAATGGGTCGGGTCAGTCGGTCAGTCGTCATGGGGTACACGACCTCGTCGTTAAATTGGCTAAACTTACTGAAAATCTGTGGTAGAACTATAGGGCTTTCAAATGTTGACCCAACTTTTGGCAATAAGTCATACTAAAGTTGAAGTTATAAACGGGAACGAATCTGGTAATCAGACGTGGCTCGCTGGAAAATTCTCTCTAAATCGAAGTTTTAAGTAGGTCCTGGTTCACCAATCATTTGCAACAACCGGCATTTTGCAAGCCAATTCAACCCTTGGGACATTGTGCCCGGGAAACCCAAAAAAAAATATCCAACTGTGATGCTTTTGTTCAAAAACAGCCAGCGCCAGGGCCGTTTTTGCGCAAAGGTGATGAAGGGCTGTTCACTCGTCCGACTTTCCTTCGGGGCGATGCCAAAAAAACTCTTTGCCAGGAAGCTAATGACTTCAACATGGCCATATTGGGATGCCATATCCAAAGCTGTCCGTCCAGATCTTGTGGTTGGACGATTGGCGCTGATCCCCCAGCACTGGTCTGATCTTTGGCACCGGCTGCAACTAGAAGGCACACCGGCTGCCATGGTTGCCTTGTTGGGCTTGACAGAGTGGTGTTATACCATGGCGCGTCGCATGATTCTTATTGGCACCAAACTCAAGCAGTACACGCACCACCTCCAGCTGGTGTACAATGATTGCAAAATGCAGTGGTGTTTGACCAGTGTCAGTGGTTGGGTGATCCTTGTTAGCTCCAGCTTCAAGCAGGAACCTGACAACTTTGATGTGGCCATGAGCTGCCGCAACACCCAATGGCGTGACCTTCCCAAGGTCATTGAAGGCGTCTTTTGGAGCACCGGCTTCAACCAAGCATTGAACTGCCGCAAGGTGGCCGCCGCTGGCAATGGTGTCAGACCATCTTCATCTCTACTCTTGGAATCTCTGGGGGCGCTTGAGCAACTCTTCAAGGCCAACTGTATCATTGTCCCTTGCTGCAACCATCAGCTCTTCGTCTTCTGCCACATCTGGTGGGCAGAATTCCAAGACCACCAGCTGAACCTTTAAGGGAACTGAAGGAAAGATGTCATCATCGTGGATCTCACTGGCATCACCTTCCAGAAAGAGTCTTTGCCTAAATGTGGTGACACCAATCTCAGCTGCCAAGGCTTGTTTCACTGCTTTGGCGGTTTTTCCTTCGAACTCAGCCGCATCAAGCAAGGCAGCTCTCTCGCCAGATGCTAGGAAACACACTCACCTCCATTGCCGCTGCTCTACTCAATATGGCAACAATATAGAAAACATTATCAAACATGTATATCCTCGCAAATATACGTCAGTTTGTTGACAATATGTTTCAGATGTTGATAAGGTGAAGAGGGTCTGGGCTGTTCAATCTGCGAAGTTTCTGTGGGGGCGATTCTGCCTCAAACTCTGACAGAAAGCGAACAACCTCCGCATGGCCACGCTCGGACGCCACATCCAAAGCAGTCCTTCCAAATTCTGTCATTGAGTGACGACTGGCACCAGACTCAGCTAGAAAACGGACAATGTCGGAGTGGCCGTTTCTTGCTGCATAATAGAGCGGGGTTGCCCCAATCTCGTTGGTCTGATCTTTGTCGCAACCAACTGCAACCAGGAAGAGGACCATCTCCAAACGGCCACGCCCGGCTGCTCCAATCAGTGCATTTCCGGTCACAAGCTGCTCCTTGTTGGCCCCCTCCAGGACAAGAAAGCGGGCAATGTCGACATGGCCCCTGGTAGCTGCGAAGCCCAGTGGAGTTCGCCCGTTGGAATCCAAGACATCTTTCTGCGCACCATTTTGAACCAGAAAACGCACTGCCTCAAGGTGTCCACCCTCTGCTGCCCAATGCAACGGAGCCTCTCCAAACCGTTGTGAGCCTGGCGCATCGATCTCTGCACCTGCCTCCAGTAACAGCCGCATGGGCTCAACATGTCCGTGCTCTGCAGCGTGGTGCAAAGGTGTCTGGCCATGCCTATCTCTTGTGTTCGGATTTCGGGGGCGTTTCAGCAACTGTTCGAGGCCAGCTGTATCATTGTCCCTTGCTGCAGACATCAGCTCTTCGTCTTCTTCAGCATCTGGCGGGCAGAATTCCAAGACCACCAGCTGAACCTTTAAGGGAACTGAAGGAAAGATGTCATCATCGTGGATCTCACCAGCATCACCTTCCAGAAAGAGTCTTTGCCTAAATGTGGTGACACCAAGCTTAGTTGCCAAGGCGTGCTTCACCGTCTTTGCGGTTGTTCCTTCCAACTCAGCCGCATCAAGCACGGCAACTCTCTCGCCAGATGCTAGGAAACAGACCTCCAGTGCTGCTGCTCTACTCAACTGAGACTACAGCAAGGCTAACCGAACTCAGGAGATGAATCTGGGCCCGCTTGGTAGTGGAACCCAGAACCCAAAGAAAAATGTCTATATCTATATATCATAATACGTCTGCATTCTGGGTGCTCGCATGAAATCATGATGTCCAGTTCCAGTTCCAGAACTCCATGGATCTGAACAATTCTGCGCACTCAGAGCTGGAAACAACATCTTCCAACGGCGGGCCGGGGATTGGCAAGTATTCAGCCAATGTACATTGTGGTGATATCTTTTCAGGATATTATTCCTGATCCACCAAAGTCTAAACAAAAACAGCTACTGTTACTAGTAAAAGATATGTTTATAGTCACCGACATACACTTAGAACCTCATTGATTTTCCAAAATTTTGGAGCAAACACTTAGAACCTCCCAAAATTCAGGTTCTATGACATATATATATATATAGGGCGACCGACTTACACTCTATAAGCTGGATATATGTTAAAATTGGGGTAGGTTCTAAGTCTCAATGAAAAATATCATGATTTGGTTCTAAGTGTTGACTTGTTTGGGGTTCTAAGTGTACAATTAGAACCTGGTCGAATTATTTTGCCTCCATTTTTTTGTTTGTTTTTCCAAAATAGGTTCTAAGTGTAAGTCGGCAACTATAGTGATCCTCAACTCCCACCACAGAATTGCCGTTCACAGAATTGCCTGCAATTCTATCGGAGTGACATTGGACGACTTCGGAAGCACTCGAAGTTTCCACCTCGAGCTCTGACAACAGTCAGGATGGGGGCTCTTCGGTCATCTCCGTGCCCAAGATCTTCACATAGCTGAAAGGCCAATGTGAAAATCCACCCAATGGAAAAACCACGAAGACTTCACAATTTAACCATGTGAAAAACTATTTGGTTCAAAATAGTGTGAACACCATGTTTAGCCCATCACCAAAATCATTGGTTTTCACAATAAAATTAACCACTGCCCGAAGGATTAGAAGCAGTGAATGTCAGCCAAATGCTCAATCCTTACTGGTTCAAAGCGAGATCCCCTGCTCAGTTTGACGTTTCACGCCTTTAGTTATCTGTTTTTACGCAACTTTTGCCAAAAGGAAAACTAAGATTAATCATCCCAATCAGATCTCTGCTTGAGAAGTCCATAAAAATCGCACGAGTTGGTGATAACAAAGCTGTGTCAAAAACCATTTATGGCAGCTATCCCCACCAATTTTGCGGTTGCATGACCTGTGTTGGTTAAAGGCTTGAACCCCCCCCCTGTCATCATGTGCGTGGCCAGTCCACCATATATTTCTTGGTGAATCCCTCGCTCTTTGTAGATTTCATCCACACAAATCGGTGATCAGTCTGCCAGTCTGCCACTGTATCGGTCAAAAAAAATGACACAACGTGGATTTTCACAAATCCAGTTTACCAGTTTTTATAGATGTGAAAAATCCCACGAATTCATCCCATGACTTTAGCCACGTTTCAGAAAGTTACATCTTTCATCATCCCAACTGGGGCGACATCCGGAGGAGGTGATACACCCAGGAGTCCGATCTTGCTGGTGAACTACCCACGAATCGTAAGTGGGTTATAACCCTGGTTTCAAATGGGATAAGGAGCGGCTTAATCCACTCAAAAAAGTGGAGTTATAACATGACCCACCTAAACGATTCCTGGGATAAACCACCAAGATGCGTCC